TATGTATCCTCTGGAGAAATATTTGTTCAGATCTTTTGCCCATTTTTTAATTGGGTTGTTAGTTTTTTTGTTGTTGAGATGCATCAGTTCTTTATATATTTTGGAGATTAACCCCTTATCAGATACATGGTTTGCAAATATCTTCTCCCAATTGTTAGGTTGTCTTTTCGTTTTGTTGATGGTTATTTTTTTGCTGTGCAGAAGCTTTTTAGTTTGGTGTAGTCCCATGTGTTTATTTTTTCTATTGCTTCTCTTGACTGGTCAGACATGGTACTTGAAAATATGTTGCTAAGACCAATGTCGAAGAGCGTACTTCCTATGTTTTCTTGTAGAAATTTTATGATTTCAGGTCTTACATTCAAGTCTTTAATCCATTTTGAGTTCATTTTTGTGTATGGTATAAGATAATGGTCTACTTTCATTTTTTTTGCATGTGGCTGTCCAGTTTTCCCAGCACCATTTGTTGAAGAGACTTTCCTTGCTCCATTGTATGTTCTTGGCTCCTTTGTTGAAAATTAGCTGTCCATAGATGTGTGGGTTTAGATGCTACTATTCTGAATGTGGCTAATTAGGGGCATCACTGGTTCCTGAGTTCCCACCCAAATGGCATAAGGGGTATTAAAAGGCCAAGGCCATGATAACTCAAGCAATTTCCATGGCTTGGTGTGAAAGGAGAGGCTCTTTCCTTACAGATGATCTTACCTTTGTGTATGTTTCATATTGGTCCTGTTTAGGAAGGTTTGTGGACTAATTTGTGCAAGACACATTCCTTCTCTTTATGCTTGATACAAGATACATGAAACACCAGATCCAATTGTATAGCCTTTCTGCTGCTGCTAAGTAAAATGCTTCTACCTTAAGTCTCTTTTCTCTCTCAACACAATAGTACTCTGTAAATCCTCTGATCTGGGTTGCTATGATAACCTGGCTTTTCCTACTTAGAAATGTGTCTAATGTACCATCTTACCACCACATCTTAGCCAAAGAATTGGGAAGGCAAGGCAAGTTTTTCTATGATTCCAGTCTATTAATTGAAACAAGATGTTTCTGAGGTCTTCTCAATGTGAAAAACAAAAAAATAGTAGCATTTGTTTATTTATTTGCTTACATTACTAAGATCAGGAACTTGCTACTTCTTCAGGGAAATTATTTGTAACATGTCATTGAGAACACAACAGTTCACACTGATCATTCCCTGTGGTCTGCCATGGTGAGAGTGATACTTTCCCGTATTATAAACACTGGACAAGGGAGCTCAATCCATCCTCTCTTGAAATTCTAGTCTTGGTTGGAGTGACTCCCTTAGGCATCCACAGCTCTAGGTTCTTTCTGACCAAGAAATGAAGCAAGTACTCTCAGAGCTGTACACATTAGGGAAAAAAAATCTAAAAAGCATCCTTGCCTTTTAAATGTCAGAGATCAACATGGGGATCTTTCTCACGTTTAGGTAGTAGATACAGCTTCTTTGTGGTCTGAGCATCAAACTTATTGAGAGAAGGACGTTGCTGAAACTTAACGTTAATTAATAATGTTTATTCACACAAACCTGGGTCAAATGGTATTCTACATGGAGGTAAGAGAGAAGAGGATAGAATAAATACATAACCTCTTGCAAGCGGTTTTCAGTTGAGAATTTTTGAGTAGCCACTTGAAATCAGGAACAGTAGGAGTTGGGAAGAAAAGGGCAGAATATAACCACTTTTTTCTCCCCACCTAGCACTGTGCTTAGGCAGAGCACAGTCTATATGAGAGCTGCCTTATAAAAACCTGCTGAATGAATGGAATGAATGAATGGATGGATGTTAGATTCTGAGCTTTCTTACACGGTAGTTTCAAATTGTGGTGAATTTGTTGTGTTCCATCTGGGTATTGTTGGAGGCCAGGAAAGAGCTTTCTATTCGATCCTAGAAGCTGAGACTGTGCTGTGCACTGCCTGGATAGGACCAGCTTCTGGCAGTTCCATTTATCCAGAGGCAGAAGGGACTCCCCTGCCTGCAACTGGAGCACTGTTGCCAGTTTCAATAAAGAAGCTAAATTGCCTAAGGAAACAGTGTTTCCTCTTACAAGGTACGATCTTGGCTCCTCTGCCATGAGGGGGGCTGTTCTTGGAAATGTACTCCAGAGCTTTCCTATTTAACCAGGGTAGGAATTGCATTGCTGCATACTTCCCCTGCTGAGGCCCTATGAAAGGAACGAGTTGGGACAGATACAGCAAGATCTTAGGACAAATTTTCCCCATTTTTCATGCTGTACAACACAAAAGTGAACTTGATTTCAACAAGATGACCCAATTCTTAGCATGCTTTTCTACCTACCTTTACCCATAACGCTTCCAAATCACTGTCTTTGATTCATATTGTGCAGAGAAACAAGAAATGAAAAGAAGATAAACTGGCTAGTTAAAAGTAAAACGGCATTTAATTAAAACTAAGTTTGCAAATTCACAGAGAAAAAAGATATTTTGCTCAAAAAAAAAACACAAAAAAACAAAACCCTGTGATTTACCCTCAGGGTAGCATAACACACCACTGTCCTTTTGTTGTTTTGAGTGTATTTTATTTGTACATTGGAAGTAGATATTTTTCATATCGTTAATAATTGCTCTACTACATTGTACACTCGGCATTGCACATCATTTTAGCCTTATTTAGTTACAAGTCTTTCATTTTCTTTCTGTACTTTTCTTAAGCTTGTTTCTGAGTGGCGGTTTGTTCACATAAGCTTTCAATTTTAAATAACACAATCCGTTTAGTTCACTAGGCATCTTTATTCGCTTAAAGTGAAGAATCAGATTGTGATTGTGTTGTAAATAAGTCAATCCTTTCCCTCCCTTTACAGGAAAAGCTGTGGATGCTAAAAAAGAGAACTGAAAGAAATAGAAATTCTTCTAGTCTTTCATGAACTCAGTTATTGGAGTCAGTAGAGCTAAAACTGTGGGGGAAAAAAAAAGAGAAGAAAATGGAAAAGGTGTTTTTAGAGCTTTTAATTTAAGCCACTCCAGTGTCCCCCTTCTCTGCTTCTTTCCACTACCCTGACCCCACCCCTGTCCCACAGTCAGAACCCGGGCACAGGGCGGCTCAAAAGCCAAAAGGAGAGTAAGAATGAGGCTCTGGATTATCGCTTCCAGTGATCTTAAAAGGCCCAGGCAGAAGGACTCTGCCTGGAGAAACTCCTTTTATCTTTCTAAAACTGCATCAGAGAAACTCATAGATTGCATCAGTGATCCTGAAACCTTTATAAGTAAAAAGTTTTCTATATTTAGGAAACCTAATCTTGTTGAGATCTTTTGAGGTAGGAAAATATGATGAGAAATAAACATTCCCTATATTCCTACGTATTGGGTATGCTCCTGGAAACATCAGAGGGACTGTTTGCCAAAGTGTCTTGGCAGTTTTCAAAGATGGCTGGCCAAGTCAAAAGAGAATGAGGAGAAGAAGAGGTTTATGGAGTACTGAGTCCAGCATTGTGTATAAAACCCAGGTTTCAATGTAAAGAAATCTGTTGCATAAAAACCTTGGGAAACATATCATCCTCTCATTTCTTTACTACATAGATACCTCACACAAGTACCCTGTTCTTCAAAAAATTTTTTTTAGAAAATAAGAAAAATATAAGAAAATCAACATGGTCCTAAAGGAGCAAATTTTGTTTTAATTTTCTTTTCCTTTTGCTTTTCCATTTAAGAGTTAAGACAACATTTCAGCAAAGAAATGTGGAGAAGGGTAAAGGGAAATCAATAAAGTTATTCTGTGACTTTTCCCAGGAGGGAGCTGTGTTAATCGAGAATGGCTTGCTTGGCTATATATCACGTCCAAGGAAAGAGCAGGAGTTGATTTTGAAACAGATTTCCCAGGTAGACTGAAGGATATATACATACATATATATATATATATATATATGTATACACACACACACATATATACATACATACATAATTTTTACAAGAACGGTATGTGTGTATATACACTATTATATACATTTTATTATGTATTAAAAATGTGTGTGTATATATATACACATACACATTTAAAAAGTAAATAAGAGTAATTTCTGTAGATAATTAGTAATATTGAACAAAAATTCTTCTAGTAGTATTTCATGTGTATTGATCTAGGATCAGTTTATACTTTATAAGTTTCTCTAATAAGTCTTTTGACCCCTAAAGAACAGACAAAGGAATAGAAACCAGATTTCCTGACCAAAGCCCGATGAAATGTCTTTGACCATAGGAAATCTTCTAGAGTCTCTCTGGGTCATATGTATAGTCACTTTCTCTAGTGATCAACATTATAGAAATTTTTAGCCAGTGTGTTTTCAGCAGAGCTTATGAAAGTCCAGCTGGCCGGGGGACTACCCAGGTCCCCCGGGCCATGATACCACATTTTCAAGTTCATTGGAAGCAGTGGTGGTTTCCCACAAATTCAGCCACATAATTGGGTGGGAGGCAGGATACCTGGGTGTCAGGCCTGACTGCATCTTCACAATGTGATCCTGAGTGAGTTATCTATCCTTTCTGGATGTCAGTTTCACTTTGTATGAAATGAGATGAATACTTCTTGCCGCTTCCCAACAACATGCTTTTTTATTGCCCAAGAATCTTGTCAAAATTTCTTTGTTCTACTCAACAATCAGGAGATTTTGGAGACAGTTTATGGGGATCCCCTTTTCATGACCCAATCTACTATGATTGATTAATTCCACCTTGCTGAGACTCTTAACATTTTTCTTCTCTTATTTTGTACATTCAGACTCTAAATTGTTTCTAACATCAGCTAAGATGCTCTATTTATCTTCTAAGTCCAAATTCCATCTATATCTTACCTGGTCAGAAAATATTTTTGTAAGAGAATGGAATCTAGACAGAGAGAGGGACCATGCAATTCTAGAGTTTCCCTGGAGGGAATTTAAGAGTTCATCTAGTCTAATTCTCTCATGTTATAGTCGAGGGAGCTAATGATCTGAGAGGTAAAATGTATCAACCAAGGTTACTGTGACAGAGCTAAGCGGAGAACTGATGTATCTTTAACTTTCAGTTCTATATTCTTTCCATTGGTTCATGTGTCTTGGGACCACTATAATTAGGAATAGAACCTCAAGTTCAAGTAAGCAGACGAGACAAGGATAGGTAAGACTTTGATTTTCCCCAGGGCCAGATTTCAGCTCTGTGTGCGTAACGTGGCCAGCGTGGCTTTAGTATCCTCTTGGAGGATGGAGGAGTTGTGGTTGCTGAAGTGTCTTCTTTGCCCCTTCCTGTTCCGTGAGACCCAGCACAGAATCTGGATCTAATTGAACTCCCACCTTTCCATGTTTATTTTGGATGTGGTTGCATTTGCACTGTATCTTATAGCTCTTAAATTTTATCTTCAGATTGACTTGATGCATTTTATATTCAACATTTACTGAGAGTTTATTGTGTGCCAGTCATTGTGCGGTGGGTTGGAGATGCAGAGCTGTGTCTCAGTCTCTTAACTACAGTCACGGTGCGACATGTCCTGCATAAGATATGCTTACAGTGCTGGAGGGTGCTGAGGAAGGAGAGACTGAGATCATCCCAAGGAGTCACAGAAGACAGCAGATCAGGTGACAGTCCTCCTGCCTTTATTCTCTCATCCCCTTCCTTATCAGGGCAGAGAAGTTAATTTTATGCAATGGTATTTTCCAGAGTAATCTTTCCCTTGTTTTCAACAGAAGAGAAGTAATATGTAGGATTTTTCCCTTACCTCCCTGTCCACCCCGTCTTAGATACCTCACCAATTCTCTATGAATTCTCTGAACAAAGCTGGTTTCCTGATACTTCAATCAATTCTTACAGCACTGTGGAAAGCAAGTCACCAGGGCCCAGAGATATATGCATGTGTACATTAGTTGGGGTGGAGATATCGTGCATCATTCATTTCCTCCACTACTTTAGTTTTAGAATCTGTTTTCTCTGTTTACTTTGTTTTTAAAAAGACATTGACAAGTAGACACCTAAACGTTTACTAGAAACACCCAAAGCACTGTTAATGTTTTAAACAGAATCTGAACACCAGTCAGATATTTTTTTGTTTTATTTTCAAAGTTCTTTTCCTCCTTACTTACCTTAGAACTTGCCTCACTTTTCCATAAATTTTAAGATATGGATTTTGAGTAATTAAGCCCCTGGCATGAGAGAAAAAGTTGATTGCTCTGTGTTATATAGCACCATGACCCTGGATTATATTAAATTCCTGGAAGAGTACAGAATGGACAATAATTTGTAAAGCACCTATTATGTGACAGGCACACTGCTACGCACAGTACAGCTGAAATCAGCACATCTTCATTCAGTGCATGTAAGTACCATGAAGACCTAAGCGTATAGACCATGGGCCCGTAAACTGAACAATTTTCCAGATTTGTGGTAGTTAGTCAAAATATCACAGTGAATCTTTAAAGATTTAACAATTCCAAAACAATTAACTTAACCCCCCTTCATTTGGGAGTGCAAGTTGGTTGCCGACTATAGTTGGTTTGCTCTGTGCCGGCCTCAATTGGAGCACGCAGTCCAAAATTCCCGAAGGGCGGAGCCTCAGACCCCAGAAAGCTAACCTGACTCCCTCTGACACAGTTCTCTGTGGTCTTCATGTCATTGCTGTTTGCAGCATAGAGAGACTCCTTGAGAAATGTCGAATGTGCCAAATTTAAAATCTCTGAGGTAGCAGTTTCCACCTTTAAAATATTCCTCGGCTTCTCCCCAGAGTGCTTCCTATGCACTGCTCTCTGTTTTAATCTCAGCAGGAATTCTGATACTGCTGCTGCACCTCAGTCCCAAAAACCTGTCTCAAAATATGTTTCTGTGTTCTTTTAATTTTATTAATTCTGCACACTCAGCGCTTTGGAAACGCATCTATTTTACAAATGCTCTAGTGGATTTAATAAACAGGAAGAGGTGTTTGAAGCTCTTCCTTACTGTGCTGTCATTAGTTAATAATGGGGCGACCAAGATGCATAGGGTCTGATTATTATTAAGGATACCTTGGGTGTACACAAACTCACTCTGATTGAACTTGAGGCAGTTCATGCTGCCTTGAGTATGGATTGGGAGACCTAGATTCTATTCTTGGTGCTGTAACAATCTTCTTGGGAAAAGTATTTAGCCACTAATCGCCTCAGTTCCCAAGTGTGAAACAAGAATAATGGTATGAGGATATTTGCTTCCCCCTTTC